TCTTTGAAACTTCATTTTGCTTTTGAAAAGCTAACAGCAATCTTTCATTAATCAGCAGGTGCATTTCTCTCTGAAAGCATTTCCATCAGATTGGAGCAGAGATTTGGGTTTAATCCCTCTGCCCTGTGGCACAGACATGACCCTCATTGCTTTTGAGATGAATGGGAACCCAGTGGGATACAGAGAAAAAAGGAAATCTGATGATTAGTTCATGTATAAAATATCTTTTCTCCAGCAACACCATCCTGGAGAAAAACATAACTTTTTTCCTAGCAAAAAACCCCAAACAAACCACAAATAAAACAAAATGCTCAGATCTTTAATCTTCTGGCCTTTCCCCCTTTTCATTCCACAACTGCAGTAATGCTGCTGCTCCTGCATTGAACCTGGTACATCTAGACCTTGACAATAATTTATTGTTTATATTTTAATTGTTCTACACTTTTTAATAATTTTAAATAATTCAATCACTGAAGTATAGAAGGGGGGGGGGGGCGGGGCTTACTCTATCCCTGATGTAAAAAGGGAATGCTCCAGAATGAAGAAAAAATAATTATTTTGAAGGCAAATCCCAGTTGAATGCTGGTGTAATTCAGGAGTCACTGCAGCACTGCAGTGAGCTGACTGGTGCAAGCAGGATCAGAATTTGGCTTTATTTCTATAAAGAGTTTTGGAGACCAAATTCATGATCCTCAAAAACATCTGTGCCTTTTAACAGAGGCAGAAGAAGCTTTCACAGGATTCCCAGAATGCCCAGGTTGGAAGAGCCCTTCAAGACCATCGAGTCCAAGCCAGCCCCAACAGCTCAACTGAACCCTGGCCCGCAGTGCCACATCCAGGCTTTGTTAAACACCCCCAGGGATGGGGACTGCACCACCTCCCCGGGCAGCCATTCCACAACTTTATCCCTCTTTCTGTGAAAAACTTTTTCCTGCTATCCAGCCTGTATTTCCCTTGGTGCAGCTGGAGGCTGTGTGCTCTGGCTGTGTCAGTGCTGCTGGAGAAAGAGCCCAGCCCCAGCTGAGCACAGGCACCTTTCAGGAGATGTGCAGAGTGAGGAGGGCACCCCTGAGTCTCCTTTTCTCCTTTAATACCTTTTAGGAGGCACACCTCTGATCTTTGATGCAGCAAATGGATGCAGTTGCCCTGCTGGGGTCATTTCTGGGGTCAGGGGGTCAGGCTGGAGCTGGGGGAGCAGCAAAAGTGCAGAGCTCTGTTCTGTGCTCTGTGTGGGGCCAGGACACAGGGCCAGGTCATGGGGCCAGGACAGCTCACTCCACGTTATCATCTGCAGTGAAGTCCTTGAATTCCATTTTATTGATGAGCTGGATGAAAAACAGAGTAGACCAGGCCAAGTTATGGAGCCAAATTCCTGCACTAAGCCAGTCAAACAGGGCCCAATCCCAATGCCATCACACACTTGATTGCTCACGTCCCCAGAGTGAGAAGATTTCACTCTTTATAAAGTGATTCCACCCCCAGCTCCTCTGTTTTCCTGGAACACGGGGCCAAGGCAGCTGGGCTGGCAGCTCTGCATCGCTGACATTGCCGTGCCTGTCACAGCAGGTCCATTCAGCACATTCATTTCATCCCTCAAACATCCTTGACAGCAGAGAGGAGGCGTGGCTGGATGTTCAGTAATGAAAGAATTGTCAGTAGGGTGCCTGGGGGCACAGCTCTGGCATGCTGATGTACTCCACACATTTTGAAGGAGCCCCCTCAGCCTAGGGAACATCCCATCTTCAGGTTCCTGTGCAGAACAGCCTGGTGGGGAGTGTGACAGGCTGCAGAGGAGCCTGTGGTGGGGGTAAATCACCAGCTGGGGTTTTTCCCTGTCACATCTCCAAAAGACAAACCTTTCCTGGCTGTCTTTGGCACATGGCTGGTGCTGGCAGGGGTTAGCACAGGGCTGGAACACAAGAAAAGCTGCAAACACACAACTTTCCTCCTGAAAATGGAGAGGAAAAGGGAGCACAGGGAGAGGAAAGGGAAGGTGAAGATCAGAGGGAAAACGCACCGTGTGTCTCACAGGATGGCTCACAGGCTTTCCCCCCAGCAAGGCTGCCTGGAACAGATGGGAAGGGATTCCCTCACATCCCACAAAGGAGGCTGCTGGCAGTGGTGCTGCACTTCTGCTCTACAGCTCTGTGCTCCAGTTCCTCTGCTGCTTGGCTGGGACGTGAAATTCCAGTTCACACCTCAGTGGATGCATTCCCAAGATTAGGCAGTGTTCCTCTGCAGCCCATCAGCTTTGTTGGGTATAAATATTATCATGACAGATGAACAGGGGGAATGGCTTTGCAGCCTGATGGATCCAATCTTTCCCAGACTGACATTGCTTCAAAACTCTAAACCAGTGAGACAAAGCGTTTTACATAACTTGGAAGCTGAGACAGAATTTTTCTTTGCTTCTTCTGGGCTTACTTGAAGTTAGTAATTCACCTGGAAAAATGCAGGTCAAATCCTTGCTTTGAACCAGGCACAGCAGAAGAACTGGAGGTACAGGTGGGATTTCTCCAGTATTTCCTGGGTGAGTCCTAATTCAGGTCAGAAAACGCTCAGCAGATCAACACAAGCACCAAAAACAAAGAGAATCACAGAATATCCTGAGTTAGAAGGGACCCACAAGGACCATCGAGTCCAACTCCTGGTCCTGCACAGGACAACCCCAAAAATCACACCAAGGACCTGAGAGCATCATCCAAACTCTTCTTGAACTCTGACCAGGACCACTTCAAAGGTTCTTGCCTCTGAGAACCTTGCGGATTTCAATGGGATATTGTTTGAGGGCTGTCAAGGCATAAGTGCCTCAATGCAAGAAAAGTGGGGAAATTTTGAGCATCCTCTTGTTTTCTCTGCATTTTGGGAATCAGGGAGCTGCATTTTGATGATCTTATGGCACGTCAGAGTTGGATCCTCACTGTTGATGTGGGCTCAGTGTAAAGTAGCCACAACAAAGCTGGCTCACACCTGGCCAGCCTGGGGTCACCAGCACTGTAATTCCAGGAATTTTCACATCTTCCTATCGTTTTAGGACCTACAGGCCGGGTAGCCATGGCTACACTGTGACAGGATCTGAGCTGGCTCCCTGCAAAATCAGGACTGCAAGTTTGCCCTTGGTGGATCAGAGTTCCTCATGGCCCTTTACTGACTCTAGCCGCCAATGCTGTTCTCAGCCCCATACCTGGAGAAATACTTTGGGAGCATCCAGCTCAGCTGATAACAGGCTCTGGGAATGGTGATGGCATGGAACTCTGCCCTGTCAGGACTCAGAAAGGAACTGGATCTGCAAGTCTCCTCCTGAGCTCAGTGTGGTTTTAAGGCCAACACCCCCCAACCCCACTGGGCTGCAGGTGCTTCCCTCCAATGAGCTGCATTTCATTTTGGAGAAATAAAGCAGGCAAGTTGAGACCTCTGAGCTCTAAAAGAGGAGCCAACCTCCCTCTCCAGGTGCCTGTGTTGGTGACCCAGACACTTCTTCATGAGGACACGTTTTAGTAGCATGGCAGCAGCCCAATTTCTGAGGGTACATATGAGCTGGGCAGGGGTTTCCCACTCTCAGCACAAAACTTTTTCAACCCCACTCAATGCAGTTGAGTAGGACACAAACATGAACATCTGTACCCTGTATTTTGACTTTGGGACTGTGGGGTTGCCTCAAATGAGCAGGACTGGGCTTTAACATTCCTCCTTTGCCTCTTTACCATGAAAACAAGAATTTAAAAAAACCTACTTTCTTGGTTTTAATGGGATCCTTCAAGTAGGAATTGCCCCTGTATGGAAACTAACAGGTCTTCAGAAAAGAGGTAAAATGCACACATACATCTTAAACGTCTAACAATGCCTTCACATTGGATGAAAGCTCCCCACAAAAGCTGAAGAAGAAATCCATTTAATAGCTCCTTCACTCCTTCCTCCCTCCTGGAGTGCCAGTTGTGTGCTGAGGCAACCTTGTTCTGATGAAAGCAATTTCACCTGCTGCTGTGACACTAATTTTTTTCATCTGGCTCCTTATGGCAGCTGTGACTCAATTAAGGATCACAGGGCTCTATATTTCCCTTTCCTGACAGTGTGTGCTAAGCAAGTGCAAATGAATTACAGCCCAATTATTTCCCCCTGATCCCTAATGATCCTGGGTGCATCCATGCACCGAGATCTTTGGGACAACTTAAAGAGAATGAAAAAACACAGCCGTGCTCTGCTTTTGGCATCTGGCCCTGGTTTTTATACATGCAAATCGAGTTTCCTGTTCATGGAACACAACCAAGCAAAGCACCATGTCACCAACACAGCGCAGAGAAGGGCGTCCTCACGCTGGTCCTTCTCAGTGGTCTGCTCTTCCACAGGGTTCCTGGGAAGCTCCTGCTCCCAAGGATGGTGGGGAAATAGCAGAACACACTGGGGCATCCTCCGAGGGGCTCTCCTGGTGCTGCAGATTCATCTCCACCTGTGTAAAACGTGGGGGCCATGTGCTGGCCTCTCCATTCCTGCTCATGTTCCTCCTGTCCCTTCTCCCCATGTCCCCAGCACCACCTTTGGTGCTGTATCATCACCTCATATTCACAGGAATTTTGGCACATTCATATGTTTGGTGGGTTTTTTTCCCTGCTTCCTGCCTCTGTCTCTCTTTTACTGGCTCATTTTTTTTAGAAAAAAAAAAAGTGCAATTTGTCTGTTTTAGAGATGCCAGTTCTGGTAAAGCCACTGAGGACTGAGGCTCTCCCTCCCTTACCCCAGTACTTCATTATTTATGACACACCAGCATCTCCCAGGCTGTCCTCAAGCAGCTTGGACAATTCCTCAGAGCTATCAATCCCTGAGGGCTTGAAACTGAAGAGTGAAAGGCCTGAAAAGAGGGAGAGCAAAAGTGTTTCTCTGCCTCTTGGCTTGTCCAATCTCATCCTGGATGCCAGCGGCTTTTCCAGTTGCGTGTCCTCTGTTGGCTCATGTGGAGCAGGTCATTTCACAGGGGTTTGCCATGGGATCACTGATTCCTGGGGATCCTCGTGTCCCAGTTTTGGATGCTCAGTGCCTGGGGAGCCTCTCACACCAGGGAGAACTCGGCCTGGAAGCCGGAGCAGCGGCGCGTCTTTGGCGAGCACTTGGTCAGCATGGAGATCTGGGTGCTGAAGTTGGTGCCGTTGCTGCCCAGGGAAGGGTGGTGGTACTTCATGTCCGAGCCCAGGAACCGCTCCAGGTGCCACCTCCGCCACTTCCTCTTGAGCTCAGCTTGCACCTGGGCATGGGAAAGAGAAAAGGCAGCACAGGGCATCACTTGATGTTGTTCACAGAATTCCCAGAATGCCCAGGTTGGAAGAGACCTTCAAGACCATCGAGTCCAACCCAGCCCCAACAGCTCAACTGAACCCTGGCCCCCAGTGCCACATCCAGGCTTTGTTAAACACATCCAGGGATGGGGACTGCACCTCCTCCCCGGGCAGCCATTCCACAACTTTATCACTCTTTCTGTGGAAACCTTTTTCCTGCTATCCAACCTGTGTTTCCCTTGGTGCAGCTGGAGGCTGTGTGCTCTGGTTGTGTCAGTGCTGCTGGAGAAAGAGCCCAGCCCCAGCTGAGCACAGGCACCTTTCAGGAGCTGTGCAGAGTGAGGAGGGCACCCCTGAGTCTCCTTTTCTCCAGGGGACCACCCCCAGCTCCCTCAGGGGTTCCTCTCAGGGTTTGTGTTCCAGCCCCTCTCCAGCCTCGCTGTCCCCTCTGCCTGTGCTCAGTGTCCCAAGGTCCTTCCCAAACTGAGGGGCCAGAGCTGGGCACAGCACTCCAGGTGTGACCCCAGCAGAGCAGGGACAGGGGCAGAGTGACCTCCCTGCTCCTGCTGCCACCCCATTCCTGACCCAGGCCAGGAGCCATTGGCCTCCTTGGCCACCAGGGCACTCTGCTGGCTCATGGACAGTTGATGTTGACCAGCACCCCCAGGTCCCTTTCTGCCTGGGCACTGTCCAGCCACAATGTCCCCAACCTGTTCTGACCTCATTATGTGAGCAGCCTTGGATAACCCACCTGCCCCAGGGCCAAGAGTTACTTTATAAAGGCTACTAAACTTGGCTTGGACATAACTTTTACCCACATAAAGGGACACTCCAGTCAGTAAATTACTGGAGCAGAAATCCCTGAGCTTCATCAGAAAGGAAATTCTCATTTATACAATCAAGGTGCTGGATTACTTAGCTTCAATGACAACACTTGGTGAGTATAATTAATATGCTTTCTTTTTCACTGCCCTATTTTTTGTTCAAATAGAAATGATTTAACTACAGCTTGTTTGTAAAGCTGTCAATACAGCTGTGCTTTTTTTGACAGAAGCTGCTTGTTGCTGCTCAGAGTGTTTACAGAAATAACCTGGTCTATGTCATCCCAATTCAAATCCTGAACAAACCTGGCTACTGTCCTTGTCCCCTCCTGCAGCCCTCTAGTGCAAATTTTTAGGTAACAGCATGAATTAGAAGGAACAGCTGTGTCTGAAGGGCTCTGGGATAAACAAACACAGGAACAGAACAATCCCAGGATGAGAATGCCAGGACTAAAACGTGGGAAAGTCAATATTATTCCTGCAAGGCAGAAACACGTTCACCTGCACTGCTCTGTGCAGTCACAGCAATGCCTGTGATGGTTTTGGCAGTGGGTGTGATCCTGAGGAGGATTCCTGGAGGCACTAAGCATGAACAGGGCTTAGATGGGATTTATCCTGCTGTGCTGAACGTGGTGCTTTAGGATCAGGGATTGTGCAAGTTCACACAGGAGTTCTGCTGATGCTGTCTCATGAGGAGAGGATGGGACCAGCAGCAACTCTACAGTGCACACACAAGTCTGATGTGTTTATTAATTGTTGTTATTAATTGTGCTGAAAACTGTCAGGCAAATGGTTGAATTATTTTCCTGGAGAGACAGTTGTGATTGCATGCTTTCCCCCAATTCTGTAACACCAGGATCAGGAATGGGACACTTCTCAATCCACTTTCCACATGCATTCATTTTGGCTGCAAATATTAACCAAAAAACCCTGATGGTCTGGTCTTACCTCTCCATTGAGGAAGCAGTACAGAACAGCCACCACAAAACCCTGGGGAAAGGAGAAACCAGGATTTTAGCACTACAGACAAGGAAAGAGTGTAGATCCATTCAGCTCCCAGAGGAAAAATCGCACAGCCACAGAAGTGTTCAGGTTGGAAAAGACCTCTAAAGTCATTAAGGCCAACCACTCCCCCAGCACAGCAAGTCCACCACTGACCCAAGTCCCCAAGTGCCACATCTGCACAGTTTTTGAACACTTCCAGATGCCAGATGTGCAGCGATGATGATGCAGACAGGGATGTTAATCATTCACCACTGAATGAAACTTGCTGCTCAGAGCCCCATCTGCCCTGGCCTTGGACAAGTCAATGATACAAAAACTGAACTGATGTGCTTGTTTTTCTCCCTTAAGTAGAAAAAACACAGAGACACCAGTGTAGAGAGGAATATTTTCTTTTCATTTCCTAAAATGAGGGAAGAGAATCTCCTTCTGGAAAAGCCCCATCTGCCCTGGCCTTGGACACATCAGTGATACAAAAACTGAACTGATGTGCTTATTTTTCTCCCTTAAGTAGAAAAAAACACAGAGACACTAATGCACAGAGGAACATTTTCTTTTCATTTCCTAAAATGAGGGAAGAGAATCTCCTTCTGGAAGGCAAAATATAAATTTATCTTTCATTCTGGCCAGGCTGGAGTGAGTAGATTTTCCATAAAGGTACAAGAGCAGTATGGGGCATGTCCAGAAAAAAACCCCAGGTACAGCTTGTTGCATTTCTCCCTGGTGACAGACCTGGTGACCCAAATGGTGGCTTACCTGGAATGACCCAACCACGAGCTCAAAGACCAGCTTCACTTCTGCTTTGAAATTGTCAGGGAAGAAAGCAAACATGATGTAGTGAATGCCAAAGAGAGGGATCAGCAGCAGAGTGGACTTGGCCAGCCTCCTGTTGGAAAGAAAAACATGAGCCACGAGGGAAGAGGGAAGAGGGTAAGAGGCTGAGGAATCTGCAGCTGAGGATAAAATAAACCCTGAAATAAACCCTGAAAAATTTGCTATTTCTCCTTGTCCCACAGACTGCAGATGGCTGGTGATTTCAGACCTGGTGGCACCATAAAATGTGACATTTTTATTCCCAGTAGCTCCACTGGTGGTATTTCTTTCTCCCTCCTCTCTTCTTCCCCTCCCACCAGAGATCTTTTTTTCATCCCCACAAGCTAAATCATCATCTAGCAATGTCTTTGTTTGCCTGGGATTTCTGAAAATTACAGCTTCTGGGAGAGAAATGGTATGTTTAGCTCGGAATAATGACAGGCTACTGCACAATGAATGTCTCCAAAGGAGGGGGATGAACAGTATTAGTGCTTAATGGCATCATGCTGGGTAATCAGGGGTCTAATTAGGAAGAGATGATAATGTATTAAATGTAATCATTATTTAAAAAGTAGCTGGCAGAAAGAAAATGAAATCAAGGGTCTAAGGATGCTTGTGGGGGTTTTGTCTCCCTTGGTCACTCGTATCCTGTGACATCTCCCCCTCTCTCAGAGGCTTCTGGAGGAAATAAAGCTGAGGCTGGGATGTTGGAAATGCTCATTTTTCCACCTGGAACCCCTCCACCTCCAAAGCCTCCTCAGGCTCAGACCTCTCAGACCCTCTTCATTCATTTGCCACCTGCAGGAGCCCACTGGGAGGCTGATGTGGCAGCTTTGTGCAGAGGATGCTCATCCCTGTGCATCCCAGAGCTCCTCTGTAGCTCTCCCTGGGCCTGGCCCAGAGACAGCTCAACATTAAGGCTGTGATTGGAGGCTGTGGCTCATTCCAGGAAACATGACAGCCTGCAGGAAGATGAGGAACTTTACAGGAGTTTGCCTTTCCCACACCCCTCACTAGCAGGTACATCCCTGCTCATAGGGATCAAAAATCTGAGTTCTCTGAGGAACATCAGCCTAGAGGAGGAGATGTGATGCTACCTTTGAGTCCCACATTGACAGAGATGCTGTTTGCAACCTCCAGTGGATTAGGAAATTTTATCTTATCCTTGCAGACAATACTGGGACCTTAATTGCAATATTTTCCCTCCTGGCTGGACTGTGGTGATGAAAAGGACATTAATGACAAAACTTGAGCCCCCTCCTCCAATTTGCACACCTCACACCAATCTCTTGTTCCCAACACTGAGCTTCACCAGATACTGAGTTTTAGATTTTATTTTGGCATCAAGGCAAGGGCTCTGTGATTTTTAAAAGACTCCACCCCCTAAACACTGCACTCAGGGAAGTCATCACCCAGTCCCAGAGTGATTTCTCCCAGGAAGCTCAAGCCTGGCTGTGCAGGAGGCAGAACTGCTTGGGGGATTGTCTAAAGCTGGTTAAATCTGCTGGAAACCATGGATTCTCAAAACCTTCATTACTCTGATTCCCAGCACATCCCAGACAGATGATGTGGTGACAGGTAATTTTGGGAGAACACGTGTCCATTAACCTGCATGGAACCTGCTCCTGTCCTTGGGAGTGGGCAAGAGTGAACCAACATTTCAGTCACGCTCCTTGAAATCATAATGGAAAAGTTACTCAGAGGACTTTGATGACAATATTGATCCACAGACATGGACAGAATGGAGAGATGAATTTTGCTCAAGTTTTCTGTTGCAGAAGACAAATTCTATTTGCCTGAAATATTGCTGTCCCATTCTTGCACATGTCCCTGTCATTTCCAGAAAACTGTTTTGGGAGACTTGTTCTCAGAGCTTCCAGTACATGAAAGCCCATTCTCTGTCTGCAGCATTAATGAGGGAGTCAGCAGCACACCTGAACTTCCAGCCTGCAGCTAAGCTCAGTCCTTCTGGAGTTGAACAATGCTGTCAGCACGTCAGCAGGCTGTGTTTGTAGAAAATAAACAGTATAAAATACACACAAGAAGGAGGGAGAAATGCAAATGAGATATCCAGGATGCTGTTTGTTTAAAACAGATTTATCTCAGATTTGGCAGGAGGAATGCACATGGAATCACAGAGGTGTTTGTTTGGGAAAGACCGCCCAGACCATCGAGCCGAAGCTGTGCCTGATCCCCACCTTGTCCCAGCCCAGAGCACTGAGTGGCACCTCCAGGGCTTCCTCGGACACCTCCAGGGATGGGGGGTCCACAACCTCCCTGGGCAGCCCCTTCCAATGCTTCACAACCCTTTTAGTGAAGAAAGTCCTCCTGATGTCCAACCTGAATCTCTCCAGACACAACTTGAGGCCATTTCCTCTCATCCTGTCACTCGTTGCCTGGGAGAAGAGCCCGATTCCCATCTGGCTCCAACTTCCTTTCAGGGAATTGTGGAGAGCCATAGGGTCACCCTGAGCCTCCTCTTCTCCAGGATAAACACCCCCAGAGTTCCCTCAACATTTCAGCAGCAGTTTTCTGCTAAGAATTGTTGGGTCCTGCAGTCAAACCCCATAAGTCTCTACAGATTTCTCTCTGAAAGTAAAAATCTTAGGATCACGCTGAGAACTCACCTTGGTGAGATCTAAACTTCAGTTTCAGACAATTAATGTTTGTTTGCATAGGAAAGTGTGGTGTCTTGTATCTACTGCAGTGAATACAGTCGAGTTTTCCAGAAGTGGCTGGTGGCCAGGTGCCACTGTATGAGGGGACAAGTGTCCCATAGGTCCTGTGTCCTTTCTGACAGGTCCGTGCAAGTACTGGAAGTGTCCTGAACCACCTCATGTGCCTTGGAAACCTAAAATTTTGGGGCCAGGTTGGAAGGAGCTCTGAGCAACCTGGGATAGAGGAAGGTGTCCCTGCCATGGCAGGGGGTTGGAACTGGATGAGCTTTAAGGTCCCTCCCAACCCAAAATGTTGTGGGATTCTATGATTCTGTGAAGTGAGCAACTGATTCATTCCCTGAATTTTCATAAAAATATTCCATGATATTTTTATGAAAATCCTTTTGCCAGGATCTTGTCTCCTGAGAAGCTGGGAACCTTCAGCTTCTCCACGTTTTGCTGCTTTGGAATGTGATCTGGGCAATTGTTTACCCAGCATGTGAAATTGTTTTTACTTGATGACCAATGACAGCCACCTGTGTTGAGGCTGTGAGCAGTCACAAGATTTTATCTTTCCTTTCCTTTCCTTTCCTTTCCTTTCCTTTCCTTTCCTTTCCTTTCCTTTCCTTTCCTTTCCTTTCCTTTCCTTTCCTTTCCTTTTGATGCCTCTTTTCTTTCTATTCTTTTTAGTATAGCAATATAATATAATATAATATAATATAATATAATATAATATAATATAATATAATATAATATAATATAATATAATATAATATAATATAATATAATATAATATAATATAATATAATATAATATAATATAATATAATATAATATAATATAATATATATAATGTCACAATATAATAAATCAGCCTTCTGAAACATGGAGTCAAGATTCTCATCTCTTCCCTCATCCTGGGACCCTCGAACACAACCACAATTCCCTAGTGGAACTGAGCCATCTCTCCAGGTGGTGAAGGAAGGTGAGGATCTGTGGTGTCAGGATCAGTTGTCCTTCAGCAGAACCCCCTGTTGAGCAGGTCAGTGAGGGGAACTCTGTGTTTTACCAACATGCCCTACATTTGTTTACAAGGCAAAAAGAGCTTTCCTGGTAGCTCCACCTCACTGGAAAATGTGTTCTGAACCCAAAGCCCAGCATGACCTCTGAGATAATCTGGGCATAACTCATCAGGTGCACGTTGGCAGCACTTTTGCTGAGGTGAACAGGAGCCAGCAGTGCCAGGACGCTGCTCAGTACTAGAAATTATTTAAATATGCTGATTTAATCTCTGCACCTGCTGCAAACCTGGGGTGCAAAGATAAAATTCCCAGTTGGAAATCCAGAAGGGCAGATGGTAGAAAGCACAGGGTCTGGTAATGTAGGTGTGTTGTGATGACAGAAAAATAGGTAATTGGCTTTGGCTGCTGCCAGGAAAATTAAGGTCAAACACTGGCATTTCCTTTCATAAATTTGAGAATCTCTCGAGGCAGATGAAATGAATAATTCACCACCACCAGAGAGAAAGTCTCAGTGCCGTGGCTGGGCAGGATTTAAGGAACATATTGTTACTTTTTTCCATCCTGCAGGAAGACGAACTGAGATTTTCCAGGGTACCCAAAAGCACAGCTCCCTCCAAAGACAAAGATTTACAAGCAGTGACTGTGCAGACACTGGACTCTTTTCATTTAATTCTTTTCTAGGAAACATTTAATAAATACCCAGGATAGCTGAAAAGCGGAGCCAGAACAGTGGGAAGAGTCAAGAATAACCTGGTCTGGACTTTTATTTTATTTGCATTGAAGCCAGAATAAATCCATGCAGATTTCTTTCACTCTTAAAATACTGCAGCTGTGACCAGCTTTGGCCACTGAGAGAAAGATGTTGATTTCTCTGGCATGTTGTTCATTATATAAAGCCCCATTAAGGTCAACCTCATATCCCTGGAATAAAAGTATTAAGTAAATTAACACTTCTAAGACAGTGATTCTTCTCAAAAGAGAAGAGAAATGTATTGAGCTAATCCAATCTTGTTTAGAGATCTCTTTTAGGATAAGGAAAATTTGCCACAGATCCTACTGAATGGTAATTTTCTAGATCTCTCTTTTAAAACTCAGATCAGGAAAAAAATCCTGTACACTGTGGAGAGCAACTTTTTGTTTTCCATCAGGGTCCTTCTGCCTTCAAAATCCAATAAATATTTAATATTCAAAGAAAAATTATATTTGGCTTCATTATCATTATTATTGCTCTCATTTCTTCATCATTAATCCCAGAAGAAATCCCTCTCACCTGCCACAAACTGACATAAAACCTGCCCAGCTCTTTTAGCAAATGCTCCATTTCCTGATTTTTAATCTGCTTTAAGCAATTAAAATTAATTGATTTTGATCATTAATCAAGACACAATAATGAACTATCAAGCAGCCAGGCAGGTTTCCCAAAAACCACTTTTAGGATAGGCTTGGCAAAGTGTGGGACTTACGAATATTGGCTGGTTTCATTGTGCCCAACATCTGGGGAATGCAGCTTCTGGACTAAGATACGGATGATGCAGATAAAGAGGATGAAGTTCACCTGTGGAGATGGGAAGAGAGGGGTAAAACATCAGCATTTTTCTTCAAGGAAAAAAGCCCATCACTAGAGGGGAATTCCTCTCACTGGAATGGGTTTTGCCATGGAAGGAGCTGCCGTTTAACAAGCCATGAGCAGAGAGCCCCTCTCGGGGGCGGGGGAGCACATGGAAAACCGACACAGGATGGCATCTTGGGCCTGACATCAGCCTGCTTGGGACTTCGTGTCATACATCCCAAGTATGATGATGTCAAGCCCATAGAGCACAGCTCCGCACGACGTTCCTGCTGCGCGCGCGGGGAGGAGCCGCGGCACCGGCGGCTCGCGAGGCGGTGACATGGGGCCAGCTGCTGAGCGTGGTGAGCCAGGGAAACCAAACCAAAACACGAAGGATCCACTCCAGCGGGCCTCTGCCCAATCCTATTTGATGCCGTAGGATTTAGCTTTTTAGGTTTTTCAGATCCTGTACTGCTTTAGGGGATAGCTCTAAAACTCCACAGCCTGTCAGCTGCTGTTCTCCTCTTTTATTCAGACAAAACAATTTCTCTCTGGGCCTGAAAGTCAGGGACACCTGACTGTCTCAGGCCCTGAAAAGTATAAACAAAAGTGAGCAAACTGGGGGTATATGACTTCATTACCTGCAGCTGTAATTTGAAGGATTTAATGCCTCAGGCTTTAGCTTTTTAATTATTTTTTTCAGATTCTCTGCTACTTTAATGTCTGGATCTGAGCTTCATATTAGGGGATGGTAAGCTCTCTTCACAGAGTAGGCAGACACAACAATTCCTTCTCTAGCTGGGGACCCAAGGACAGCCAATCCAGATCTCAGGCCCAAGAGCATAAAAAACGATGGACTGAAGAGAGAAAAACAAGCAGGATGGGACTTCATGGGCTGGAGCTGTGGTTGGACAATTAACTCCAACATGCAAATGGACCAGAACTTATAAAAATGTGAGATCTCATGACCAAGCCCTATTTTGCTTCCATCTTGGAGCCATCCAGGCAGAGCCATGACTGTGGCTCTGGTACTGCCAGGGTGTGGCCTTTGAAGGCTCTTCAGTAAACATCCTCTTTATTCCCCTTAACTCTGTCTAGCCTCTGTTCCAGCTGCTTCAGGCACCAGTATAACCCCCGGTATGTAAATAGACGAAACTTAAAACTGTGAAAAACTCATGAGCATTGTCCATCCTGGGTGTAGCCCCTCTCTGAGATTTCTGACTGCCCAATGGTATGTAAACGGACCAAACTTATAACTGTGTGAAAAACCCATGACCATTGTCCATCCTGGGTGTAGCCCCTCTCTGAGGTTTCTGACTGCCTAAGGTGAACCTTTGAAGGCCTTCAATAAATACCCACTTTTATTCTCTTAATCTTGTCTAGCCTCTGTTTCAGGTAGCCACTCCAAGGCATCATATTGGTCATGTTCTGTCTTGTGCAGCAAGGGATAGACCTCACCAAGGTAGTGGGGAATATTCCATCTTGGGATGTTAGACCAGAGCAGTCTGGCTGATATCCAGATTTTAGGTGGTTCTTTTCACCCCAAAATCTCACAGTGCCCTACCAATGTACTCAAGCAATGTAAACCTTATTTAATAGCAAAGGTGTAGAGCTAGGAGTGGGTATGTCCTGATGGCATGAATTGAATTCAGATCTGCTGCTTTCAAGGTCCTCTCTGTTGAGTCATCCTGTTACTCATGCAACACAGACAACAGAAAAGCAATGACAGATTTCTGGGGACTTAGTTCACTTTTAGTTTGGCACACAACCCCTTTTTTTATCCTTTCATGGTCAGTGAATGTGCAAACAATTCTAGTTTTTAGAAGCTCAGCAGCTGGAAGGGATTGTGCTAAACCAGCCAATCTGATTCCTTGCAAAAATAGATTATAAGATTTCTTCCAGCAACTCCTACACTTATCACAACAATAGATGAATAAAACAGACTGAAGCCCATCTCTCAAATAGACACTCTTTTTACAAAGCCTATGAGTGACTGGATACCCATTGCATTTCTTGGTTATGATGCATTGCTTAATAATTTCTTACCTATCCTGAGCAATTTATCATAGTTTCTGTTTGTATTTATTTCCTTTAAAAATGGTTTGTGTGTCTGATTTGGTAGGAAGTGAAATTTATTAGTCCCAACCAGTATTACCTAGATCAACTACACTAATGATCATTGATAACACACAAACTGCTGCAAGGAAGGCAAGAATGTAGCAATTAAATTCTGACTGCGTTGGCTTGGAGAGGTCAAGAGCACACACTGACTGGAGTGGGTATATGGGCTTGGTATAACCTTGGAATTCCATGGCAGAAGATACAGGAATCAGGATTTTTAGATTATTTTTTATCCCTAGAATGTAATCAAAGAGAATCAATGTGTTCCCAGTGCTTAACACCTTGTACACAAGATATATCTCATGTTCCTTGAAGATCTTATAGATCTTGTACATGTATTTCTTCATTACACTGAGATATCAGCTGTATTCCTGTGGATTTGGAGGAAATGCTGCATTACCCCCTGGAGAAACCTGCTGTTCATCAGCCAGTGGCTATCATGCCCTTCCTTTAGGACAGATTTATAGGATATCTGCTGAGAGAAAATCAGGAACTGCTGGGTAAATTCTGTTTGGCAATGAAGAAAAGATTTATTGGCCAAAAGAAAAGACAGACCCATTGATCCAAGAGGAATAAAAGGGTGTGTTTTTTGACTGAAAGCTTATCTCAGGAAAAGCAAAATACTATCTATAGCTTTCCAGGATGGTATAAATATTTGGAGATGTGTCATCTAAGTACTATATTTCTTTCCAATGAGGTAAACAGAGCAAGATGTCATTACTGAAACTTTCAGTCTGGAATCCCTGCATGATAAATGCCACAGGAAAAAAAAAATAGTCTTCTTGTAAAAATCATAATGTACGTGGAATAAGAAGATAAGAAGGATGTCTAAGGAAAGATTTATCTTCAGAAGAGATTGATTTTATTTCTGTTGCCTTTTTTTTTTTTTTTTGCTTCCCTTGCAGCATCTTTCACATAATTTAAGAAAACTCAAAACTAAGTTTAACTCCAGTTCATTTGATTTTAAGGTTTGGATCCATGCCCAACAGAGAAATATTCAACAAGGATGGAAGGACCCAGAGTTCCTGAGAAGTGTCCTGGTTTCTATGGTCAGGATTGACCATATCCAGAGAATTAAAATAAAACACTTCTGTTGATTTTTCTGGAAATTAGCCAAACTCCTCTAGAACTTATTCCAAAATACGCAGCTGGAATGCAACTCTGTACTGGGTGCAAGAGGGAAATTCCTGAGGGAATTCATCTACTCCCTTTTTATCTGAGTGGAAATTCACGGTAGGACTCATGTTAATTTGTAGTGTTGACGTCTGAACAAGTGTTGACATGACTGAACAAGCCATCCTGGTCAGCTCAGAAACAAAACCACTCCTAGCACGGGTGACCTGATGGAATTCACCGATTCCTGAGGCAAAATGAGCCTTTCCTGGATGTCCAACCACATTCCTCCATCTCCCATGGCCACCCCACCAAGGAGATGGAGGTGGTCACAGCTACATCAGGTCAGTTCCACCCTGGTGGCCTCAAACTCTCAAAACTCAAACTCTTCCCGTGGTCAATGCTGTAGGTGAGGGTGTTTATCTGCAGGAGGAATTTCCTCACCTTAAAGCAGATGTCCAATGTACAGTGGGATTTTACCTGGCAGTGCATTTCCCATGGACATTTACAGGACACTTCTCAACAGCCCTTCACCCCTCCCCAGTTAGGACTAAAGACGGCTTTGCAGCCAGCAGAACGTGCTGATACTTTACCAAAATAGACACCAAAATAGGAGTTTTAATGATCCACCAGAATGGGGATTCCACTATTTCCTCCCAGCACCTAAAAAGAAACAAAGCCAGACTTAAAACATCAAGCACAGCAAGCAAGCAGGTCTGTAACCTTCTCAGCTTTCCCTAAAAGCTAAGTTTTGCTAGGCTGGGTTATGTGAAGAGGACTAAACCTCATGTGTATGGACTGGGAATGGCCAAAACTTGCTTTGCAGTGGCTGTGAGCACTGGTAGGTACCAAATATCCCAGAGGTAATGCCAATTTTTTTTCCCTTGGCCACAAAATGGGCTGGAGGATGTTAGGCAGGGTGAATGTGGGGGAGAATGGTGATTTTTCTTAATTTCTTCTACACTGAGCTCTGCTGCAGGCAAATTTTATGGAAACCATGAACACTGATCAAAATTTATGAAAAGATTCATCAGGCTCTCCACCATCCTGGATGGAGGGGGTTTGATAGGCACTGAGCAATTGGCACCAGCAGAAGGAAAAAAAAAAAAAAAATCAAACCAAAAAAACCATCAGATCCTTCTGAAAAAAAAAAATTCCAGCCAGTGGTGGGGTTAGTCCCATAAATCCAGCAAGCTGCACCTGAGCTATGGATGGTGCTAAAAAAGTCCCCAGGGTCCAGGGTGGGATTTATTTCATCCTGAAGCCAGAGCTGTCTGCACATACCACCCCTCACCTGGGACTGCATTTTAAAGCCAGCAAGGAAATGAGAGGAAAGGACTGATGTGGAAGTGACTGATATTGCTTGGGACACCTTCATCTGCACAGTCAGGTGACAGAAGGTGCATTTTTAGGAAAGAATTCATGGAAATTGGGCTGTTTTCATGTAAGAATAGATTAATTGTGCCAACTGCACACAATTTCACCCAGATTCAGCTCCTCTAATTCCAAATGTTGGCAGGGAAGGCAGGAGGAGATGAAGAGAGGCACTTTTAGGGCACAGTTCCTGAGATCTGTTTTAAGCATCAACTTTAGGATGATAAAAATTGCACTCTGTGGACTACACTGACTAAATCTGCCCTAACTCTACAGGGAGATAAAGAAAATTTCTCACATACAGACTCTTGCAGTTAGGTGTGTGCTGCCCTTTCATATAGAATTAAAGTGGCCCTAATTACGTCTAGTGCACTTCATTTTTAGAATAAATTGAGACAGTGTGAATGAAGGTCACTTTCACTTGGACTTACAATGTTTAAATAAAGTCTTAGTGCTGTTTAACCAATCTTACCTAATTAGGGTTTATTTAATCTGGATTAATTTCCTGTAATTTTTCTCTGCAGGTAATGAAAAAAAAAATCTGTGTTAGGTATTAATATATCCTGTAAATTCATTCCCTGTTTTACTCAGCACAAAAATGTAGGGTTTTAAAGGCCCGAGAAAATGCAAAGAATTCTGTATTTTTATTAAGAATTTTTGGAGCTGAATGGAATGTATAGTAAGAAAAACTGGTATCCAGAACGGTTAAATCCTCCTGTCTCTGTCTCATTGTAGAGGCTATTTATTAACAGAGTAAATAAGGTCAGTTTTATGCAGATAGAGTGAAACCATAAAGGAAGTGAGTAGCCCTCAGGAAATGTGCTGGCATGACTATAAATCAAAAATGCAGTGAGAAATCTGAGCTGCTTCTTGTAGTGAAAAAGGGGCAAATCAGGACACATTTGGAGGGGAAGAATGCATGGGAGAAAATGGATTTAACTCCAGGATGCAAATGCAAGAAGTGAGGGAAGGCACACTGAGGACAGAATAAGCACTTGATTCTGCATCTCTCTGGGGTGTTTTCCCATAAAACCCTTTCCAATTACTGCAGTCTGACCTCTTGAATAAAAGCAAGAATGAGGATTTCAGGATCAAATCCTCTCTACTTGCACATATCCTTGGATAACTCTGGTGTCTGCCTCATTTTCTTAGCTGCATTCTATCTGCTTCTTATACAAAATATCAAAGGCTGCTGCTAGGTGAAAAGGGATGAAGAATAGATCCTAAAATCTGCTTGAGAAAAAAGAAGAAAAAAAAAATTTGTAGCCTTTTCCTGTGGGAGAGAATTGGGTGTGTTTATAAATTCCCTGCCGCATGTTTAGGGTCAATTCTGCAGGGTGCAAAACTCTGCTCTGAGCACAGGACCAAATGCAACCACCAAGGTCTAAAATGACATTTCAGGGAGACCCTGGAGCGTTTCCTGGTTCCTGGTCAGAGGGGAGAGGTGCCACTGCTGCTGTTTTTTGGGTTGCTAAGGTTGCAGGGCTTTTCTTGGCCATAAAGGAAAGCAGACTTATAAAGGAAAGATAATTGAGTGGACAGGCTTACCCAACATCGAAAAAGTAAATCCTGACAATTGTCCAGGCAGTGATGAACACGGAGGGGGCACCTGAGGAGAGAAGAGATGGTGTTGCTGTCAGAAATCATGATCAAATGGTTACCTGATTTCATTACCAGATTATTTAAAATCTGCCTCATTTCTCAGGGCTGTTCTCCCTCGCTCTCCACCTCTCCTGAGTGTCTGAGGGGATGCCTTCCCTCAGGGGTGGGAAAATACTTCACATTTTCAACCCTCACATGCCAAACAGGCAATGTTGCCTTTCCCTCCCTGTGGCCATGCAAGATCAGCTCTCTGGAACTGCTCCCAGCATGCTGAAATTCCTGTTGCAGTGCTTAAAAAATCTTCCAGGGGTGAAATGCAAGGAATAAGAATCACTTGAGCCACCTACAGTGTGGACACCTGTACCTGAGGAGGTCACCACAGGCTCTCCTGAGCACCAAGGGGCAGAATTGTGTGTTTCTCACACACTTGCATCCAGCTACGTTAAACGTTTGATTTAGAACAATAAATATGAAATATCCCTGGGCTCTTGTGCCCTGTAAGGGAGCCTGGAGTGCCAGGTTCACACCCAGCTGGCCAGGTGAAGCTGCCTCTGCTTCTCACTCCATGGTCTGCCACTTTTGGGTGGTCTTGTCCCATCCTTGTGCTGGCTCTTTTCTCTCTCTAATCCTTGACTGGATTTAGGTTGCAAATACTCCCAGGAGGACACGCCTCTTTGCTCTGTGTTAGTCACAGATTGTGTACGCTTTATTACCAGTGATTTCCAAGTGCAATGGTACTAAAACCAGTAAAAACTGTAATTAGAGCATCCAGATTATTAATTCATGCATGATCCATTCCAGATCCATCCCTGATGCTCTTGCAAATGATGGATGACTGAAAGGCCAAAAGTTCCCTCAGGCACTTGCCAAGTTCTGGAATTGCCCTTCTGCACCCAAGCAACCTCAGGACACGTTAGGAGTGCAAGAAATGTCCTTTGATTTAAATAATTACCTTTATGCATTTTTCTTTAAACTTTCAGCTCTCCAGTGCTGAAATAAAGAATATCTGGAGGGCAAGGTGAGTTTAACAAAGGTCTGACCTGAGGAACTGAAACAAGACCTGCTCCCATCATCCTCCTTCTGCCCAGAGCATGGAGAATCATCTCTGCTTTGCAGTGTGAAGCCAAGCATAGCTCCTGCCACTTTCTATGGAAGTTACTCCATGGATAATTGAGCAAATCCTGAGTCCTGGCATTCCCCTGGACATGACACAATTTTATTTTACCTTTTCTTCTCAAGATTTTTCCCTGCTCTTATTATTTCTCAGTTTCAGCTATTGAGAGCATGCAGTAGAAAGTTATTCACTTAATTAAATATAAATCTTCAACTAAATGGCATGAAAGGGGAAAAAAGGTCTGTTTCATTTTTGAAAAAATAAAAGTTGAACTGGTAGGATTAATTTGCATAAGTCAGCAATTCAGTTGTGAGTAACTTTGTGAAGATTTTAATTCTCTCTTCCTTACCATTTTTCTAATTTTATTTTGTTTTGCTTATTTTATTTTATTATTTTTTATATTTTATTTTATAGTATTTTATTTTATCTTTTCATTATATGATTTTAATTTAATTTTATTTGATGCATTTGAGACCGGATTTGCATTAAGACTGGAGAAATCACCAATGCAATGAGCAGAAGGTTATCAGCATTAGCACACAGGTGATGGGATCTCAGGGCAGCTGGCTGGCCTGAATTCAGTGTCTGGTTCAGTCCAGGAGTTCAGCTTTGCTGGGATCCATCCTTACAACTTAAGGTCAATCCGTGATATCAAAATTGGAATTCCTTCCCAATATCCAATCCAAATCTACTCTCTGTGAGTTTGAAGCCATTCCCTGTGTCCTGTCCCTCCATGCCTTGTCCCCAGTCCCTCTCCAGCTCTCCTGGAGCCCCTTCAGGCCCTGCCAGGGGCTCTGAGCTCTCCCTGGATCTTTCCCTTCTCCAGGTGAACATTCCCAGCTCTCCCAGCCTGGCTCCAGCTCTGGAGCAGTTCCGTGACCTCCTCTGGAGCTGCTCCAACTGCTCCACGTCCTTCTCATTTTGGGGACCCCGTGGCTGGATGCATCTCTGCAGTGGATGTCAGATGAGGAGAGCAGAGGGACAGAATCACCTCTCTCAGCCTGCTGGTCGCGTTTCTTTTGGTGCAGCCCAGCCCAGTTGGGTTTTTGGGCACGTTTTGAACTCATGTCCAGCTTCTCATCCACCAACCACCCCAAATCCTTCTCGGGACTTAGTGGGGGGTGGGTGCTGCCTACAACATCCCTGCCCCACCTGAGTGCCCAGGTATCTGTGCTAAATCCCTGCTACAAAGAGCAGGCAGGATCCCCTCCTGCAGGAGACGCGTACCCCAGCCGATCAGGATGTACCACCAGAAGTACTTCCTCTCCGAGAAGAAGGAGATGACCAGCAGGGTGTGGAGGTACAGCCCCTCCACCAGCAGCCAGAAGAAGTTGGCCATGACACAGTACTGGAAGAAAACCATCATGGCCTTGCAGCCCACCTGGAAGAGAAGAAATGAGCAGTGGTGAACTCCCTGGCTGCTGAGAATTCCAGACTTTCTGTGCTGCCAGGCACTGACCCCCAGGAGAACACTGCACTGACCTGAGGCCGTGGAGAAGCTTCCAAAATGGAATGACAGAACTGGGATTGTGGGGGTGGAGTTTGAATAGAAGTGTGTGATATCACAGGGTGGGAAACTTAGAGTTTAAGGTTTAGAATACAGTAATAAAGATAAAGCTAGATGGATGTTTTAAAGCAGAAGTTAGTCCTTGTTCACCTTCATCATAAATTTAAGTAGTATATTGTAACTAGATTAAAAAATCCACATTACAGACCACGAGTAGCGGTTTTAAAGCAGAAGTTAGTCCTTCTTCACCTTCTTAATCATAAATTTAAGTAGTATATTGTAACTAGATTAAAAAATCCACATTACAGACCACGAGTAGCTAGTTATTGGGTTAAAAGTAAAAATAACATGTCATTTCTTAATCAGACAGTTTATCCTTAAAAAAACCGTATAAAGAAAAATATAAAACTCCATTTTTAACTTATTAGAAAGAAGTACTATAAAACTCACACTTTATGAGATTGTAATGTAAATAAGAACTAATAAACATCTGAGTCCAAACAAGAAATACCATCTCACATATTTAATCCCAACCTTAACAAAAACAAAAAAACCAAAGCAAACAAAAACAAAACAAAACAAAAAATCCACGTAGTGCTGCCCTGTGTTAGGAACTGCAGCACATTCCCACAGGAAAGAAATTTCCACTAAACTACCAGTGACCCTTGCTCTGGGTGTATCTTTGGGATTGCTTTGTGCAGCACCTGATCTCCTTATGAAATGAATTCTGTGGTGAAAAGTCTACAAGAAGTTGCTCCTCTTTAGGAAAAGAAGGACTGGGATATGTATTTTTACAATAAAGGATAGGCAGGAGAAGCAGGGCAAGCACACAAAAGCATGCACAGGTTTTATTGCTCTGGAAGGGCAGAGATTTGAAAAGGGAAGGTGAATTGTTTACCTTAGGAAATGAATAATTAAACACAGTAACTTGCTTTGTGGAGATTTCACTGCAGCACAGGTAATGGGAACAGTTCCCTCAGCAAAGAAATAAATACAAATGGAAATTTCTGACACTTGGCACCCACTGCATCATTACACATCCTCGAGGTGTTGGCTCAGCAATTGTCCTGCTGCTTTCAGTGGGTCTGCCTGGGTGATACCCTGCATTTTCTGGGGCAAGTGTTTGCTCTCACTCCCTGGTTGGCGGCACTTCCCTGGTGTCCTGCGCATGTAGAACGTTCAATTTAGAGCAACAAGACCCCATTTTACTCTCTACTCCTTTCCTACTGAAAGCAATTGCTATGAAACACTGGTTAAAAGAAGTGTGGAAAGAGTTTTTTTCAGTGCCACATGTTTAGGGAGGGACTGTCCCCACCCTCACCCATAAACACATCAGTGTGCGACCCTGGGGACCCTGTTGGGCTCCTGAAAACCAACTTTTGTGCAAATCAGCTCCCTCCTGTGAGGCACAGACACAGACTGAGGGGTGCTGATGGGGGAAGGTGAAGGCAGAGCAGGATGTGAACTCCCTTCCAACTCAGAATATTCTCTGCGTGACTTCAGGGACTGCCAGGGAGGGAAGGTGGCACAGGGCTGGGCTGGCAAAGCTGGGGATGAAACAGCCTCATCCCAATGGCATCACTGTGGCATTCACATTCTCTGAAAAATCCCTTCGCCCAGGATTTTTCTCCTGGGAAGCTGAGAAGCCTCAGAGAAAAAGAAAAACAATTCTTATCTCATTTGCTTCTCCTGTGTTGTGCTCATGTGGAATGTGTTTGGAGATTGTTTACCCACAGGTGATTGTTTCATTGGATTCTGGTGTGAGTTGTTTTCACTCTTTGGCCAATCAGTGCCAAGCTGTGTCAGGACTCTGGAAAGAGTCACGAGTTTTCATTATTATCTCTTTAACATTCTGTAATTATCCTTTCTGTATTGTTTAGTATAGTTTAGTTTAGTATTCTTTAATATAATATAGTATCATAAAATAATAAATTAGCTTTCTGAGAACATGGAGAGAGATTCATCATTCCTGTCTTTGTCAGGGATCCTGGCAAATACAATACATCACCACACCTTTGGTTTCTCCCTGATTTTGTGTACTTGTGGCTGTGTGACATTGCCACCCCTCCTTCCTTTCCCCCAAAGCCTGAGTGCCTGCTTGGTGTGTCTGCAGCCAGCAGGGATGTGTGTGTGAGTGAATTCCTCCATGGTTTCACTCTGTGGGTGTTTGGCCCTAATTCAGCAGTTCCCAGGTGAGACACGAGGTTTGAAGGGGCAGATCTGATGCATCTCAACCACCTGCCTGTAAAACAAGGATTTCCCTTGGGGATTGTGCACCAGGGAATCACTTTTGGATGGTTGCACTGACTTATGGCAGAGTCAGGAGCACAGCACAAGGGGCTGCAAAGCTTCACAGGACAAGGGAAGGCTGCTCACAAACAGTGCACGTGGTTTCTGCCCAGCAGGAAAGGAAAGGAAATCCCTCAGGAAGGGATTTCCAGCCTGACTTTGCAGAGCTATTGCTGTGCAGAGAGAAAGCTTTGCTGAACTCGTTTTTTTTTAAGCAAATATTTGCTTATTTGTGCATTTCCTACCACTCTTGGAATTTTTGGTTTTACCTGGAGAAAAGACCTTTTTGAGCAGCATTTTGAGTGCATGAAAGTAATGTCTTGCAGCCAGGGATCTCCTGTGGCACTGGAACAGAGCTGGATGCACTGTCCTGTCCTTAAAATTAAATAATAGCATTTTTCCACTGCCTGGGCTTGCTATTGTTGCCTAAAGCGGGTAAGTTTAAAGCAGATATTTCCAGGAGAGGTGCAGTTTGATTGCTGATGATTCCATTGATCCTCTTTGACAGTGGCACATTTGGAAAACAGTCCTTCCTGGCTTTTGGGAGACCTTATTCCATGCAGCACTTGGTAATGGGTCTCCACCTTCCTGACTGATTAAATTCAGCCTCAGAGAGGCTGGTTTAATGCTGGGGAATAAAAATCCTCTTTTATGTAAGATATCTTACCCTTTAGATGACAGGCACAGGGCAGAGATGAGCCATTACATCTCTAGAATTTATTTTTTTCCATAAAGAGCAGAGCTCACGATGTGTCACTGTTGAAAGACTAACATGGGGCTATTTTTAGAACAGACATTTTCAAGAGAAAAAGCTGAATTACATCAGTGCTTTTGCTACTCTCTCTTCTTCCACAGGCTCATTTACAGATTATTTCCTTGTCATTCCTCAGGGATCTTGCTCTGCTCATGTCCACAGCAGATGTGGCAGTGAGATGGTTTTTCGCTTGATTTTGTGGCTCCTCTCTTGTTCCTCTCTTTAGAGCTGCATCAGGGATGTGCCGTTTGCTTTTCCCATGAAAATCCCTCCCTTTCCACATGTGTTTCCAATGGCTGAACTCTGGGAAGGGCTCTGCCTCCAGCCAACGAGGCACTGGGCTCTTGACCCCTCCTGACAAACACTTGCACCCCAACACATTTGTTCCCCTCTGCAGATTCCTCACAGCCAATAAGAAAATCTAATTTTGATTATTGTAAAAGTTTGCTTGAGGGTGGGGCCTGTCTTAGACCTGCTCGAGGGCTTTCAAGAGGAAGAGGCAAAGAGAAGGGACACAAGGGTGGGGACAAGAAGGCTGAGAAACAATCCTGCCAGGCTTTTGTCTTGTGCCCATATTTTACTCTTGGGTAATGTTAGCCCTGATAAAAATATCTTTCTCTTAATTTTTAGGTGGGTCAGCTGGTCACTACATCAGTTTTATGACCCACCTATAAAAATACAGTTCAGGTGCTGGAGGCAGTAATTAGCTCAGAGCTGAATCTGCATTAAATATACATATATCATTCACCTCAGTAGCAGTAACTCATCCATAGCTCCTGAAATTTGTTTGTCTGGACAGGCTGATAAATTTATCAATGTCAATAAGAGCAGCTTAGTTAGACAGGAATTATTCTGAGATAATTGAGATACACGCACACCCAACACGCATCCATGACCAGCCTCCCGTGAATGCAACAAAACTCTATAAAAAAAAGCAATCACTCCACAGAAATGCCAACACAAGCCTCCCTTGCCTTCTTCAGCAGGGATATGGTTTGTTACAGGTTCAGGATTTGGGTTCAGGAAGGATTTAGACCAAACAAGTACAAAGGAGCAGTTGAGTGATTGATACCCCACAATCTGGTCAATAAGAGCAGCTTAGTTGGACAGGAATCGTTCTGAGTTTTTGAGGTACACACACACCCAGCACGCATCCATAACCAGCCTCCCGTGAATGCAACAAAACTCTATAAAAAAAAGCAATCACTCCACAGAAATGCCAACACAAGCCTCCCTTGCCTTCTTCAGCAGGGATATGGTTTGTTACAGGTTCAGGATTTGGGTTCAGGAAGGATTTAGACCAAACAAGTACAAAGGAGCAGTTAAGTGATTGATCACAATCTGCCACAGTTGGACTGGGAACACTGGAGTCTCACTGCCCCAGCCACAAGAATCCCCCATCACCTGATTAGAATAATGGAATAGTTTCAGTTGGAAGGGACCTTTTAAAGGTCCCATCCCTGTATGGCCTGTCCTGTGTCTGGACACAAGCCCCGTGCAGACCCCACGTTCCTCCCTCGTACCCACAAACTCTGTGCCTCCCTGCAGGGTGGAAGCTTTGGGGCAGGGTACCAAGACTTCTCTAAGTCAGATTAAAGATACATTGAAGACATTCCGTGCGATCCTGGTCAGTGACGCAGCTCCTGGCGTTATTTATGGGGTTGGGACAGTGCATCCAGCAAAAATGTGGGCTCAGATTTGCCTCAATCCATCAATCATGAAACCTTGAGACCTCAAAATCCTCCTTTAAGGTAATTTGGTGCTGTTACCTGGGCTACCACCAGCCCTGCAGCAGGAAGAGATTTACACTGAGATTCCTGCAGGTGTCTTC